CTACTATTACAATATTATTATTAAAAATTATTTGCACTATTATTATATTTCTATGGATTGAGAGCAAAGTTTCATAATTTCTTTTCCTTCAATATAATATGTATTCGCAATATATATAGTTCTTATTTTTTATCCATAAAGATATTTAAAAAAAAATAATTTGTTTATAAATCAAATTATGAAAATTAATTATTTGCAAAAGTAGCATTATTGAATATGTTATTTCTATTAAATTATATTATCTATATTTTATGTGAATATTATTGTACTATACTATATTTTACTTTCATATACAAGATATCTTTAAATTTACAATTCAAAATATTATTGCGATTAGTTTTTTAAATATACAATGGATCAGTTACAGGTGTTTAAATTAATCACTTGTATATCAGTTACAGATGTTTAAATTAATCACTTGTAATTGCGCGTACAATATTAATGACCGTACTTGAAACGATTTACTAAATAGTCTGTGATTGGACAGTTTTAAATTTTGTATCTCAAAAAATACTACTTTTGAAAAAATATCAAATAAATTTTTTTACTTAACTTTTCATAATTTTTTTTATTATATTTTTTTTATTATATTTTAAGTTGCAAATTTCCAGAACATACATATTGTTACGATTGAATTGTTACGATTGTGATCGATTTTGCTGCTCCCCGAATATTGATTTTTTAACAGAAGATTATTCTCTCTTATTATTTGACAAACTTCGGTTGCAAGAGAGCCGCGGAGCAGCTGTGATAGAAACGAACATTTTTGCTATTTTCTTGTTTACTTGCTTTGTAAATAAAGTTCGTTGCTTTTGCTAATAATTCTTGTTCATTTTGCGAATAAGTGAATTATGCATGCGAGGGCTTGCCGTGAGCGTAACAATATAAATGCATACATACAAATAATAATGTTAAAAAATTTATATTATTATTATAAGATGAAATCATAAATTAAAAAAATTAGAAACTTAAAATTTTTTAAATTAATTATATATGTTAAATTTTTGTTTTTGTTTTTTATATTCAGATGATTATAATAATTTAATTTAATTGTGATAATTTGTTATTATTTAAAACGCGTATAACCTAACGAAGAATATATTGCATTAATTTAATCTAATTAGATCTAATTAAATCTAATTTAAAATTATATTAGTAATATAATAAAATAAATACAGAAAACAGAATAGCATATTTTGCGTTTAAATGGGCAGAATCCTGATTGAAGCAAGTTTTACATGAATTAAGTATCAAAACTGATTTTAGTTCTTCATTTATATAAAATTATATTATAATTAACGTTGCTTGCAATAATTAATAAAAAATGTTTAAATAAAAACGTTAAAAAACACATAATCGTGAATTATATTCTCACACTGATCTTCTATAATTACCTTAATTTTCTTTGTTTAATTGCATTAATATAAAATTGCGCACTAGTGTACATTATTACATGAAAAGAACTGAAAAATCTTAAACGAAAAAAATAATAGCAAGCATGACACTCCATCTAACAATAAAGATATACAATACTTTTATTACGATTACTGCGCGTGCATTGCTTATATATTGATAATTCTTTCTTGGTATATTTTTCTAAGAAAATAATGCATACGTTTTTGCCTATAGCTGCAATCATCCCTATTTATGTAATATTACAAGATTACTAAAATTTGCAACTTTATATTTTACCTTAAATACATAAAATGATATATTACATTTCATCATCAATTGCATTTGAATTTCTTTCTACATATATAAAATTAACACAATGTTTAATAGATAGTAATATTCAAAGAAATAAAATTAAACAGTAGATAAAACTCTCTGAGTTTGCATCACACAAACAGTTTTATACAAGATGCACGCCATTGGAGAGTATTATTATAAAATTAATCGTATTCTTCTTCTAATGATTGGTATATGGCCCTACCAAACATCAATATTCTCAAAAATACAAAAATTATTCATTGTTATTATTTTGGCAAGCATAATTTGTATTGAGGTACGATTAAAAAAATATTTTTATGTTCTCAATTATTAGATTGAATTTTCTAGTATTTTGATTAATTGTAACTTTCTATATGATCGTGAAATTAATTTCTATTTTTTACAACTTGTATTTCTAAATATGTATTACTATAATTGAGATATTGCAGTTAGCTGCATTTATTACACATGAAGTTAACACAATTTTTTTTATCGAAATTATGTCATATACATTTCCTACTCTTGTGGCTATATTAAAGTACTACATCTTTTATATTAAAACAGAACTTGTAAGTCTTATTAAGTTTTTTAATAATTTATTTAGAATAAAAACAGTTTGGAGTAAATGTTATCTAATTTTTTTATCATTTTTGTGAGTAAGAACTATATCTTTAAATAACTATAATTAAACATTTTTTATGTTATTTGTTATTATTGAGTGTAAAAAGGAAAGAGAGGTACCGATTTTCCAGATTGATGGTATGAATTGGAGAATGAAAACAATCTGATCATAATTCATGATGAGTACTAAAATTATTTATTATTTATTATCTAAGTATATTAGATATCGTTTTCTTAAATATTCGGCAGATAAAACGACTATTCGAACGTATTCAGGCCGATTGGAATTTATTACAAGATGAGCATGAACGTGAAATAATAGCATCATACGCCGAATATGGAAGGTTAATTACTATCTTTTTAACAAGTAAGAAAAATATTATCACATAATTATTTACTACACATAATAATCTTTAAAATTATATATTGTTATTTATTTATAAATATTTTATTGATATACAAACTCTCTTGGTAAATTTTAGATATTTCTTTGTAAATTATTTACATATTTCCTATTTAAAGAAATGTCTTCTTTAATTACATGATAAAGATATAATTGTATAAAGCTGTATGTGATTTATTTTATTTATTATTTTATATTATTATGTTTAGTTTATATATCTCGATAACTCTTACAAAAAATAATTTTAATTATTTTTGTATACATTCTAGTTTTTTGCTGCTGTATTTTAATTGTGTATGTGACATCGCCAATGATGCTTTATATTTTGAATGTTTACTTATCTAATCATACTTGCAACTATACTTATTCACAACTTACGTATATTCCAATGAAATATTCCGTTGATCGAGAAAAATATTTTTACGTTATATTACCTCATTTTATTGTATATGCATGTATTGCATTATTAATAATTATAGCTATTGCTACATTCATATATTTACATATAAAACACGCTTGTGGTTTATTAAAAATTGCTAGGTAAGTAATGAATTTTACAACTAGTCATTGGATAATATTTAAAAATTTATAGCTATCGAATGGAACGTGTAATGGATATGGAAAACATGCAACAAATTTCTCCGTTAGAAAGAGAACATATTATGTGTGTAAGAATAATGCGAGCTGTAAATATTCAGCAAAAAGCAATGAAGTTTGTATTTAATATAAGCTAGTGTGCTATGCAAACGCTATTTTACCTTGTGTCATTTAAAAACCGTTTAAAATTATGTTAAGATTTAATTAAAATTGAGAAAAACAAATAAATACACAGAAATTATGTTCTTTTCATTTTCTCTTTCTTATACAGAGATATTATTACTTACTTTGAAAAAAAATGATTAATTATTTCAATTTTGAAGGTTTATGGATCACTTCAATTCTTGTTTCGGAATAATGTTCTTTATTCTTATCATATTAGGCGTGATTAGCATAAGCGTTTGGATGTTTCGAGTAAGTACCATATAAAATATCGTGCTTAGAAATATGCTTTCTAAATATTAAGTTACTTTTTAAATAAAATTTTGATTTGTTCCAGCTTCTTCTAATTTTACAAACTTCTAATGATTTGTGCGAACTTTTTGTAATCTTATCAGGATTAATCGGATACTTCTTATATTCATTTCTCTTGAATAATGCAGGGCAAGAATTTTTGGATCACTGTAACAATGTATGTCTTGCAACGTAAGTTTTAAGTAACATCAAACGTAATTATAATATAGAAAAAAAAATGACTGCAAGAACTTATTTTTATATAGTTTTATATAATTAGGTGTTGATGAGTAATGAAATTTCATAATTATTTTAATTATTTTAAATAATTATTATTTTAAGTAATTTTTAATGTTAAATAAATTTTTTAAAATTTATTATAGTTCAATATATTATTACTTATTGTTTAAAGTTATGTTTAATTATGTATAATAATATCTAGCCTATAAAAATTTATAGATATAATTCGATATGGTACATAGCGCCACTTCGAATTCAGAAATTAATATTGTTTCTACTACAATATGGCACGAAAAATTTTACTATCCTCTTCGGCGGTTTTTTTTGTCAATTCACTAGAAGGTTTTACTACGGTAATTGTGTAGCTACTATAAATTAATATTCTAAAATAATTTTCTGAGAATATACAAACGCAAATAAAAAAATGCATTTTTTAGATACTAAGTACATCTTTATCCTATTTTATGGTACTTTACTCTACACAATTAAACGATGAAAGAATGAAGAAATAAACCTCTTGAAATTTTATCATTAAAAGAGAAATAGCGCAAAACTTAAATCATATTGAAATCATAAGGTATTTTGATCAATATTCGCAATATATTAACATTGCTAGAATTGGATTTTTTATAGTAGATGGAATGTTGTGCTAAATTTTTAAGACTAACGAAAACATAAAAACTAAACGTGTAAAAAATAAAAGTCTTTTATAAACTACGAAAAAAGTTTAACACATATGATAAAAATAATCATTTAGTTAAAAATTATTTTTTAATTAAAACAATTTTTAATCAAATATATTGTGATAGAAGAAACCTTCCTAAATGTGTAAATATTTTTTAATATAGAAATCCAATTCTGAATAGTTATTTTTTATTTGATATATATAGAACAAGGCATAATTTTATATATATAAAATTCTCAACTTTTTAGCACTTTTCAATAACAAATTGCGTCTGCAATGAAATGCGACTTTCTCTTTATCTTTTTGTATATTAATAAATGACATATTACATTGAAAATTCCTTTCATTATCAATATTTCACTAATATAAGTTATTACACAAAACTATTTATAATATTGAAGATATTATAATCATTGCAATGAACTATTTAAAAGTTCTATAAGACCAAGATGTGTAGCGTTTAACAACTGAAATCATACTAACGTTAAGTCATGACAACTTAGCATGGTAATTTTATATGCGCTTGCGTCGATGGGAAACACACATGTGATAAAACATATGTAACGTTTATATGAAAAAAACATTTTGAGATAATTCCTTTCTAGAGATACAAATAGTGGTAATTGAACTAACTGATATTTGTATTGCAATATTACGAGGTGAATATTATATTGTATTGTATATAACCTGCTGCTCATCTTTTGAAAAAATAATATAGATAAGAGATAAATAAAAAAATAATAGGTTTTTTCTGTGACTTAAAAAGTTTAAAAGAAAAGAATATTAGACATATTTTTTTAATCGCTTGTTATTCTATGGAGAGGGAATAAAAAGTCCGTGTGTGGTTCATACGTGGTTCAATATTCGGAAAGAAATGGTATCATTTGAGTATCATTATTATGAAATTAACCGAAGACTACTGACTATCATGGGATTGTGGCCTTATCAGAAATGGAGATTTAGAATTATTCAAATTACATTATTTCCTATCGTGCTCATTTCTTTTCTGATTGCTCAGGTTTGCTTAGATTCATTCTGATTTGATTTTACAAACCAATAGTTCAGTTATATGTTTTATATGTTTTAAAATATTTACTTGACACACACACACACACACACACACACACACACACACACACACACACACACACACACACACACACACAAACACACACATACACACACTTTTAAAACTTCTTTTTAAAACATTAAACAGTATTATTAATTTATAGTATAGTTTGTTTTCATGAAATGTTTATTCTAATGTTCTTCTAAATGTTTATATAAATATATAAATAAAAATATATATACATATACACATGATATATATAAAATAATATTACTATATAACAATTGCATTAATTTTTTTCAAAATAATATTAAAAATTAAAAATAATATTAAATATAATAATATTAAAAATAATATTAAAAAATTGCTATCCGATTATAAGGGAAGTATTTTTTATCTTGTATTTAATTTAAAGAATAAAAACTAAATTATTGCAATTAAATTATCGTTTACAGTTGGCAACGTTTGTCACATCGGGATTTAATGTTAATATTATGTTAAGAGTTCTGTCGCAAGCATTTCCATGCTTAATATATTTCTTAACATATATCTCTTTTCTTCTAAATAGTAGAAAAGTAAGTACACTCATGCGCGCACGTGCGCGCGAACACACGGACACACTTTTTAAAATCTAACAAAACATTTGTACATATATTATATTTAATATAAAGTATTTATTATTATCAGTTTTTAATGTCATACATATTTAAATTATTCGAAAGTACAGATAAAAATCTTCTACGAGCGGCTTCATTACGAATGGACGGTATTAAAAGTTGTGGGTGAACTCGATATATTAAGAAAATATGCAGCAATTTCCAGGCAATTCGGAATCGCAATAACGAGTAAAGAATCAATTTAATAACTTCAAATTAAATCATTTTTTTTGCATATGAATTTGTTAAAATTCAATATTTAGATATTTAGAATTAAATAAGAAAATAATATGTTATAAATATTGATATAAATATTGAGATTAGCAACAGATTTATAACAACAGAATTTAAATTAGAATATTGATAAAGCAATATTTTGATTAGAATAATATTTTATCTTATTTTTTATAAAAAAATAATATATGAATAATATATGAATAATATATGAATAATATATTAGGCTATTCCTTTATATATATATATATATATATATAAAAACTTATATTATCTAAAAAAATTTTAATTTTATAAACATAACTTTATAAACAATTTGAAGATATATGGTAATCTTATAAGGAGTATAATGTATATATTTCTTACTTTATAGTACTTCTAATTCTTTCTCTAAACGTTTTCGGCTTGTTCCAATTTCTTCCGAATTTTCTTGACATCATTGCACCGCTTAATGAATCTCGTGAACGTTATTTGTCATTCTCAGCCGAGTATTTTATCGATCAGAAGCAATATTTTTATCTTATTTTAACACATGGTTTGTTGGCTGTTTATATCGGAAGTGCTGGAGTACTTGCTACTGGTAGTTCGCTTATAGGATTTATTTCGCATATCTGCGCAATGTTAAAGATAGCAAGGTAAAACTAACAAGAGAAAATTATGAAATATTTTAATGATTTATTAAAGACAACCATTCTTTTTATTTATAAGCATATTCAAATGTAAAAGAAAAAATTTCACAAAAATTATTTAATACAATATATAATAATATTATGATACTCTTTTACATAGCAAAATTAATAAATCACGGAAAGATGATAATAATTCAAATAATTGACGAAATTAATATGTCGTTTTATTTATCTAATTTATTATTGGAAATTGATATATTTCATTAAAGATTTATTAACTCATTATTATCTCATTTTCTTTTACTATAATTATTAATTATGTGCGTGCGTGCGCGCGTGTTACTTGCATGATACACGTGTAGCATCTTTTTGCAATATATGAACATGAAATATAATTTGATTTTGCAGCTATCGTCTTGAACATTTAAGCGATAATCTATCATCAGTATCTGAACTTGAAAAGGATTGCATCATCCGTAAAAGAATAATTAATGTCGTTGATATTCATCGAAGAGCAATCGAGTTAGTATTTGATTTACAAAAAAAAAGTTAAGAAAGAAACTGAAATTGAAAAGTGATGTACCTTTTTGTTATTTATTCTTTAATAATAGGTTTGCTGAATTTATTTTATCCAGTTTTGCAACTCTTTACTTCATATTATTTGGTGTAGGTATTTCATCCTTAACTGTTAATATGTTTCAAGTGAGTATATATACATATATGTATACACACACACACACGCGCGCGCGCGCGCGCGCGCGCGTGTGTGTGTGTGTGTGTGTGTATTTCTATTGTTCTATGTTTTATGTGTTATAATAACTATTTTTAGAAAATTATATTTAATATAGATGAGATACAATACAAACAATTTATATTTGATTTCTATATTCCTGATACAATAAATGATTAATTTTTTAAATATTTTTTCTTGTTGTATACTATATGAAAACTATACCTTCGTCAAATTAACTATGTATATGATGAAAGTAACAATTTCTTTGAAAAAAGGAATTTGTATTATAGTTTTTGCAACTTATGATGTTAACAAATAATACGAATGGAATATTAGCGTGTGGTTTGCTAGTTATAGCCCATTTCATTTATATATTTGTGGCTAATTTCGCTGGGCAGATAGTCACGGATCACAATACTAATATTCTTACTACAACGTAAGTAATTAATAGTCATCTAAATTAATTGACGTTTAAATTAATTACTTATTTTGATACTTAGATATGCTATACAATGGTATGCAGTTTCATTACGAGCACAAAAGCTCCTATTTTTTATAATGCAGAGAAATACAAAAAATTATTATTTTATGATTGGTGGCCTTTTTACTGCTTCTTTAGAAGGTTTTGCCACGGTAATTATAATTAATAAATTGATAAATAAAATAAATAATAAATATATATATATATTATATTTTTATTTATTAATTTTATAAAGTTTATTTATTAATATATGCACATATGTTTTAAATTGTTTTATAATAATATAAATAATGTCTATTTTAGATGATGAGTATGTCAGTATCATACTTCACAGTGATTTATTCCACACGATGACTACAAAATGTAATAAAATATTAGTAGCCAATTATAGATAATTACACAAGATTATTAAAGTAGTCAATATATTAACGAGCAATCGTCGATATATCGCAATATTTCCAACTTACATAAAAATATTATTTAAATTAAAGACTTTAAAATTCATGATAATATATTATAATTACATACAAATAGTCATATCAGCAAGATTAGCATTAAAAAAAGATCAAAAATACATTATTGAAATAATGTTTCAATGTTCAATATATAAGTTTTCTGATTTATAATCTAAAACAATTAGTGTTTGAGGAAACAATCAACTTGAGAATGGATCAAGAGTTTTTTCAAAGATTATTATAATATGATTTAATTATGTTATTGCTTTAAATCTTTTAGTTATTAACTAAAATAATGAAATTAGATATTACATCAGAAATTTAATAATGCGTATGAAAAAAATCTGTAATTTGAATATCTAAAATGTTTTTTTTCAGAAATACATTAATAGTGAAAGAAGATAATATTTACTAATTAATTATGTACAAATATGTGAATTTATTGTTATTTTATTTTGCATAAAATAAGAAAATTAAGTTTGAGTACATCATTAATACATACTGTCTTATTTCATACACTTTGTATATTTATCTCAATGCTTCAGTCATTGTTTTATAGCTTGATTATTTCTTATTAAATCTGTTATTTGTTTTTTATAATAATTAAAATCTAGATAAGGTAAATAATATGTTACCAATTAAATATTTCCTATCAGACTGAAAACTGTAATAATGAAATATCTTCTTAAATTTATTATTATCTTTGGTATTTGTTTATATGTTACAAATTTCATTCACGCAAAGTCTTCATAAAACCGTACATTTTTTAATTAAATACTAGCTATTCGAATTTTTATATGATACACATTATGAAAAACACTCGTGTAACAGAACAGTTGCAAGTAGTGCGATGCCCGATGTCGTGAACGACTGAGGGTGCCATCAGAAACTTTCTGGAAACCCGTAATCGCGCCTGCGCCCAGGTGAGAAAAAAAACAGAGATATTATTTCACCCTCGTCCTGGGAAAATTACAGACGAACATAGCATATAATTTCGATAATTTAACTTTCTGTCGTTCTCTTCGAGCGAAAAAGCATGCGAATATGAACAATCGATAATCGTCCCTAACTTATTACGGTACCATGAACACACTACCCGATGATAATATTTTGTGAAAAGGGTAGACGGTTAAATCCCCCTTTTATGTGAGGGTGAAAAGACGGTTAAATCATTTTACTGAAAAACATACCATACGGTGTCTTAATATTATTTTCGAACATGTTTTTATATTCTAATGGGACAGACTTCGCCGAGTATCATTATTATAAATTGAATCAAATATTTCTCTCGGTAATTAATTTATGGCCGTATCAGCGATCAAAATTTACAAATATTATTCATACCTTCCATTTTATTATAATGGTGTCTTTTGTGTTTTTTCAGGTAGTAATATATATATCTTTTTTAGATATTATATATTTAGATATTATATTAGATATTATATATTTTTTAGATATTATACTATCTTATACAATTACATTTTATATATTAACATAAATTGCGATTAATTTCGGAAAAATCAAATTAAAGATTAATTATAATAACACAAATCTAATATAAGCATATTTTATTTAAATATAGTATCTTACTTTAGACATATATATATATATATATATATATATATATATATTCCAAAAAAATATATCCAAATATGATATTATTTCTAATATTTTTATCACTTCTAGTTCACATCATTCATTACATTTCCACATACCCTGGATGTCGTTGTTATGATATTGTCGCATGCCGTACCATCTTTCGTATATATCGTACAGTACTATTCGTTTTATGCCAGATCCAATGCAGTAAGTTAGTGACTATGTTCTTTCGTGTTGTTTCATTCAGCAATAAGACGCTATCTGAAATAATCCATCCAACCATAGGTGAAACGAATTTGGAGATGTATGCGTGATAATTGGAGTCTTATAAAAAACGAAACGGAGCGCAATATAATGGGACAACATTCATCTTCCGGGGAACTATGCACAATAATATTATCATGTACAATAATTATAAAAAAAAGCATCAATTAGCAATATGCCATTCTCTCTTTTTTTCATAAAAATCTTTTTCTAATACTTTATAACTGTTGATACCATTATTTACTCTACCTTTAATAATTTTGACAATTGCGTAAAATGATTTTTGAAAAATCTCTAATTGAAGCTTTTTGCTCATTAATATTTTGTTTTATTTATGCTTATACCTTATAAAACCTGCTACTACTAATCTGTAGCACAATGAACTATATTTTACATACATTAAAAATAACTATTAAACTAATAAGTACAAAAAGTTTTTTAATATATTAACATAATTCTAGCAAGTATCATCATAAGTCTCATTCTCTATGCATTTATGGAAATGTTACCGTGTATCCTTGATTTAATCTTTCCACTAAATGAAACTCGCTCGCGCGAGTTCTACGCTGTGACAGAATATTTTGTTGATAAGAGAACATATTATTATCCAATTCTGTGTCACTGGTTGATTGGTGTGTCTTTCGGTGGCTTTGTTGTTATAGCCACATGTACGTTTCAAATAGTATTCCTCGAACATATTTGCGGATTATTAAATATCGCCAGGTAAGATTTAAAATTTAATACGTCATTAGTTTATAGTTTATAATTTAGATTAATTGTGAAACAGTAAATCTTATATATTAATTTTGGGATCCAGATTAAAAAATTTATTTAGAGATTAAAATTGTTGAAAATTTATACTTCATCTAATATATATAATTTTTCTTATAAAGACATTCTATTTAGCATGGAAATGTATTCAATACAAAATAATAATCTATATAACAAAGTTCTTCTTAACATTATTTACTTTTTATAATTTTTTTTATTTCACAATTACGATATTAAGGATTACGATATTAAGGAAAAGAAAAATATACATATATAATGAATAAGAAACATATACAATAATCGTATCATTTCTCATGGACAGGTAGAGCAAATTATACTTAATCGAAAAATCCTATTTTGTGAGTTTCGAAATAATTAAAGAGTTATTAATTTATAGATCTGTAAATGAGCAAGCATTCGCGCAAAGGAACATCCAGCGCTATGCAACGCTTACAGCTAGTTGTGCAGCAAAATGTTGAATATGATCTACAAATAACAGAGTATTTGTTTATAGTGCACGTCTTCAATAATGATAGGCTGTCCTTTTGTACGAAAACTTGCGAATATAAATTAATAACTCTTTAATTATTACGAAGATCGCAAAATATAAGACTCAATATTACTCACGAGAAATGATACAACTATCTGATATCCTGTACGATTACCGGATATCCTGTATATACAAGGTGTCACGTAGCACTGTCATCATTGCTTGTGAGAAGGTAGACGGGAGCGAGATAAATCAAAATGTCTTATACCATTTTGCGATATTTGCAATAATTTTCGAGTTATTAAATATTAAAGTTGCACAAATAAAAGCGCGCGGGGAGAAAATGTTCCCCCGCCTGACTCGTAGGACGGCCCAACGTGACGACAACGGCCATCCGGCGCTCGGCGATGGGCGGAGCGCGCGCGGCGAGGGAAAGAATAATAGCTGCCGCTCACTCTTCCCATTCGTCCTACAGGTCAGGTGGGCGAGCGCTTTCTTTCCGCGCGCTCTTATTTGTGCAACTTTAATATTTAACTTTAACTTTAATATATGTAATTTTAATATTTAATAACTCGAAAATTATTGCGAATATCGCAAAATAGTATAAGACATTTTCATTTATCTTGCTTCCATCTACCTTCTCATGAGCGGTGTTACATATGCTACGGGATACCCTGTATATAAAATATGCACAAATTTATTATTTTATAATTACGAATAAGAGAGTAATTGAATATATTTGTAGCTATCGAATCGAACGTTCAATCGATGAATATACATTATGTAACTCTGCACATAAGAAAAATTGTGTAGCTCACCGAAATATAATTGCTGCAGTAAATATACACCGAAAAGCATTTAAGTCGGTATTTCTATATGTATATATATTTTGCAAAAATCCGGATATTTATATAATTTCTCTATTTGATATTATTCGCGGATTTGATTTGATTCAATATTTTTCTTATACTTAACTTTTATTATTGAAGATGCAGCGAATTGATGACAAACACTTTCAATCCATTTATTTTCTTAATAATTCTAATTGGTGTTTTATCTGCAAGTTTGAACTTATTTCAAGTAAGTTACCTTTTTTAAATTTTTCTTTTTGACAAATCAAGCTATGAATTTTTATATATATGTATATATGTATTTTATATATGTATATATGTATATATAAATAATTTTTTATATTTCAGCTGCTCAAAGCAATAATTTTACGAAATGTGAAAGAGTTAATCTCATCAACAATATTCATTGGCATGCATTTTATACTCATGTTCTTGGGCAATTATTATGGACAAAAAATTACTGATTATAATAACAAAATTTTTAAAAATGCGTGAGTATTTATTGTAATTATTATTCTTATTATTTTCAAACAGAAATTAAGTCTTCGAAACAATCTCAGAAGACATGTACGAAATAATATTTTATTAACAGATATAATGTACAATGGTACAAAGCTCCAATAAAGATCCAAAAATTACTATTAATTATAATGCAAAATACTACAATGCCATACATTCTAAGTATTGGCAATTTAATTATGGCTTCAGTAGAAGGTTTTGCTAAGGTAATGAAAGAAATAATATACGATATATAAATGAATTACAGATTCTTATTGATAAAGATATTTGATCAATTTGTCTTACAGCTCATAAGCTTATCAATGTCTTATTTTACAATAATTTATACCGTAATGTAATAATAAAAAATAGATAATATGAGTGAATTCGTGAGTAAAATTATAAATATTACATAGCCATTAAAAGATAAATACGCAAAGTATAGACACAATTTATACATGGAATACTAATGCAGAATACTAATTATTGTTATTTCTAAACAGATTATTATCTTATTTCACAATAATTTATATTATATAATAACAAAATTCATAATAGAACGATATATATGAGAGAATCTAACACTGACACAAATGTTCAGATAATATTTTATTTTGATTATTATGTTATTAAATATTAAATATAATATTAAAAATAAATAAAATTAATTATATAATATTTTAATTGTCTTTTTTCTTTTGTAATTTGATAAGAACTTTTTTATTTAAATAGAATAAATTAATAAAAAAAGAAATTAATTAATTTAGTAACTTAATTTAATAACCTTCTAACATCGAAACTTTGTGATAAAAAGGAACAAAGATAATTTTAATAAAAAAGTACGCAAAAACTAAATAGATGTATCAAAATAATTCTTCAATTATGAAGAATATTTTAAATGAAAATTATAACAGATGTATCGTTCGTATCAAAATGTTTAATAAAAATATCATAACTGCAATATATCTTAATTTAATACGTATATCATATTTTTTTATAAATTTTCTACTTATGCTACATACCCGTGTATGTTTTTAATTTTGTTTCCTCTTGTAATTATTTTAAAAATTCTTAATTAGATTAAAAATTCTCACTCGATGCAACGAAATAAAACGTTATCGATATATACGAACATATGATGTGTTCTCGACAATGTATTGCAGTTTGAAAAGCTATATACAATGATATCCTTGATATTGCTTTATGGAGAGAAGAGTTCTGTCAAACGGCTGATACGAGAATGAATCTCTTCCAGATTCTGGCGACAATATTACGCAAATGCGCTTGCGCCAACTCAAAATGGGATGATAAGATATAATTGCTTATGAAAAATTACTAGCAAGAAGAGATTTTTTTCATACTGAATAGTTGCGTGACTCATGTTTCCTTCGCATTGTTCATATGAATATATCAGCGATAGCCAATGAAAAAGTTCGAACTCTTTTTTTCTTCTGCCACGTAGGACATGGACAATATTTAAATTGCTACAACTGTCACTCATTCCTTGACATTGTATCTTCCATTGTCTATCATTCGCCGCAAAAAATCCGAGAAAAAATTTGCTGGTATGTTAAATAAATCATTACGGAGGAAAAATGCACGAAGTAAAATTCTGCTCTCTGAAATTTTCTCTAGCAGATCTGTTTCTCATTCGCGTTTTGATCACTGCAAAATGTACATGTTTGACGACCGCTCTCATAAACTAAATCAAATTCTTTTGAAGATCTTCGGTTTGTGGCCTTACAAGAAAACTAAGTTTGATCGTTTTCGTGCAACATGTTTTTACATGTTACTCATCTCTAATGTGATTATTCAGGTGATTTCTGATACTTTTTTTATATTTGTCTAACAAATTAATAAAAATATTAGAGTAAGATAATTTTTTTTGTTAATTGTTCCGAAACATATTCGATCATACTTTAAAAATTATCCAAAGAAAAAAATATTAGAAAAAAATATTACTGTTAGAAAAAAATATTACTCTTAGAAAATTATGTTCATATAATTTATTTCTTATTATTTTCTCCTCTTTCTCCTCCCCCCTTTTTCTCTTTCTCTCTCTCTCTCT